AAGCCCCATTTCTTAACTCCAAACCTGTTTGGAGTCAAGCTTTCTCCTTGAACAATTAGTGTCTCACACCACCCAAGACACACCTTCAACCTCCTGGTGACTCACTTCTGGTTGGGTCCAGGCTGTCCTCATTCCACCATTCACTCATACGGTGAGGGCTCATTGAGGGCCTACTACCAGCCAGACCCTGGGAAGTGGGTGGAGGGCAAGTTGAGACCCTGGACCTAGCCTTAGGGGCATCTCTTGTTGGTGGGAGAGGGAAGGGAAGTCCAATGGTGGGAATGAGAACTATGGCAAGCAGCTCTCCAGGACTGTGTGTGCAGCAGCAAGGGGGAATATTCTGGATATGGCCCGACAGGGTCACTGCACAGCCTGATGCCAGCCACTTCAGTTTAGGGCCATGGGCACGCATGCACACACACTGGTGACAGTCACCTTAGCAGCTGCACCACCTCAGGGGCTCATGTTGAGTTTGTGGGTCCCATTCATGAGAACTACAAGGAAATTTCTTTCTGAGCTAACATTTATTTTCTGTTAACCCAAGCATAGGACTTTACATTTATCCCCATTAAATCTCATCTTGTTAGTCTTGGCCCATTGATCCAGACTGCTGAAATCTCTCTAATCCAGATCCTGAGATGCAGACAAGTTACCCCCTCCAGCGCTGCATTGCCAAGAAGTGTGATCAGTGCACCTTTTATGTCTTTATAGAGAAGGCTCTGGAAATTGTGGGCCATAACGAGGCCTTGTCCATAGCCCTAGGGCCGATGATTGCATCTTAGTCCAGTTGCCCAGCACAGTCTGGGTCAACACAAACAAGAGACTCATATCCTCTGGGTGGTTACTCGGCCAAGCCCTAATCTAGCCAGCACGATCTCTGCATCAGCTACATCCTCCCTCCTGCATCACCATACTCCAAGAGATGTCATCAAATAAACACTTTTCCAGATGTTGACGCCCACGTCTGACCAATTTAAAATGTCCTTTCTGCTACCAATTGAGCGAATATTAATTAGATTTGTCCCTTCAGAGATGTCTGGAATTATCCCAGACAGAATAAAAGCCAACGCCTGAGTTCTTCCAATGCAGAGACCCAGCAAATATAAATTCAGCGGGCCATAGACCTCCCCCAACCCCTGCCTTCTGTCAGTGATGGGCCAAGGCTGGAAAACAGAAAGCTCGGTGGGTTTGAGAGATGTGGGGGGTGTGATCTACTGCCATCACTTCTAATTATCCTAAACTGGAAAAACGGATGTCTAAGCTGGCCAGCCTGTCTAATAAAGCATTTTGATCAAAGATGCAATTGCACAGAGCACCTGTTTGAGGGATGGCCTGAGAGCCCACGGGGACTCAGGAGAGTTATGGAAGTCATAAAGCGGTCCCTGCAGTTCCGTAGGCAGACAGCAACACTGTGAAAAATGTTTCTCCAGGGAAGCTTTGAGTCTCTTTAAACATTCAATTATGGCTATACAAACACAGATTTTAAGTGAACAGCATCCGATCTTTGCACAAATTAGGGATGCTCGGAGGCAAATAGAAGAAAGCCCCCTGAAACAACTGTTTAATACAAATTCTGTCCAGCTTCAAGAAGAATTGGTGTATGTGATGAGTTTTTGAGCAGGGTTAATTAGGTGACCCTCTTTCAGCATTAGCTTTGGATTATGGCTCCTATGATTTAAGGCAATGAGGCCACCTTTATTTTGGTTATGATCTCCAAGCAGGTTTTTAATTAAAACAGATTTCTGGATATTTAAAGACCCAGTGTTCAATGTGCAGAGCTTTTTAGCCCTCTGAAAGTTGGTGGAGGTCCTTCTAAAACACATTTGCTTTTTATGAATAATAAATACTCCAATATCCTTCTTTTCAACGATTTTTAAGTTTTTACAGATTTTTTTGCTTCAGTGTTAAAAGTTTTCCTAATCTCAACAGTAATATTTTCTTGCTCTAAAACATGAATGAATGTCTTCCATAATTTTACTGGTCAGAGATACACATATATGTATATAATTTTGAAATAAAAACTCAATGTTGTGTAAAATATTATCTAACATGCTGCTTACATTGATTATATCATGAGTGCTTTTCACAGTGATGAAGATCCCATCATCTCCTCTAATTGTGAAATAGAGCTCTATTGGCTCTATATTGCTAAGTCATAATTTAATCAATCTTCTATCGATTTAGGTAAAATACTCTGCGGTGAACATCCCTGAACACAGGACCTGCAGCCATGATGTAGGGCACCCACAGGTTACCTTCTGGTTAGCCAAGATCTCTACTGTGCTGGTTAAATATTCACATTCATCTTGCTTGAACATTTGAGTTCTAATACCTTTATTTGAATAAATTCTCTAATTAGATCTATTGGGCCAAAAGCTATAGGAATTAAAAATTCTACTTTCTCCTGGACAATGGATTATATTTTGTGTTTGACAGCATCAAGAGCTGGTAGCGCATGAGCATTTCACTCTCCCCATAAAGCTCCAGAGTTCTGGTATTCATGGTCTCCAAAGTGAAGCCATATGGAACAGGCAGGTAATTTTTTTCAAAAAACATTTTATGTTCAAGTATTTTGGGGAAGTGCAACATTAAAATAGTAATATTGGCATGCTCTAATTATGAAAATGTTATTCTTAGCAGGGTAGAATCTCTACAACTGGTTTAAGTAGTATAATTGAAATAAAGCCGCGGAACGTCATAGGATCATATCAAACACTCTCCATACAATTTCTAACATGAAGGTTGACAGTGAGGTTGGGAAGAGAGATATGAATTGAGAAGAGATAGCTTTATGTTTTTGACTTTTCTAATTTTGAGATTATATTGTGAAAGGCCCAGAATTGGAAGTGAGCAAATTAAGGCACCTTTTAACCTTGTAAAATGATCTTTTATACAGATGAGCCACGGTCGAATGACTATTCGTCATTGTGTATTACACTATCTGCCTTAGTAGACAGGAAACCATTTTCAAAAGAACCAGGAATGAGACTACTGAGCCACTTCAGAGACTCAGAGAACCAGAAGGGCGCTAAGAGCTTCATTTCTATAAGGAAAAGCATGTCCAGTATAAAGCTAAGTGAAGAAGCAGGTTATCAAATGCACAGACCCAATATCCACGAGGAAGACAAAAAAAGCAAAACTTACTTGTAAGGAAAACATGACCTTGGACCATGACTAAAATATTCATCAGGATGTTGTTTGGTAATAGAAGTATTTTCTTTTGGCTCTTTGATTTTTTTTTTCCCCTACAATTTTCAATTTTCTGCACTGGACATGTATTCCTTTTAGAGTAGAAACAAGTAGATTAAGGTTTTTGTTAAGTTGATTTCCATCCTTCTACCTGCTGTCTGACTACCATCTGTGGGTCTGGAATTGGCATCATTCCTGCTGTCTAACACGTCCCCCAACACTCTGACAAAAGGAGCGGATGCCCGAATCCAGCAGCAATCCTAAAGCGCCATCAAGGCCATGCATCTCCACCAGAAACCCTAGTCCCTTTTGATCATTCAGGAAATATCCAGTTTTGTCTGTTGAGATATTTCAAAACCACATGCAAATAGCAGTCCACAAAAATTAAAATGTCCCACAGTATTCTTACATGAACAACAAAAAAAGAACATGAATATATTTACTTGGCTGAGAGAGACATACCAAAGGCAACATAGAAGTTTCTGTTCAGCTCCCTGTTCATTCAAAACGGGCACCCGAAACCTCTACTTTAAGACTATCAAGGCATGAGGAAAGCTAAAAACACATCATTTATTGCTTAAGAAAGCTTTTAATCCGTGTAATGGTTGGGGGTAAACATACAAGATATACGAAGAGGCAGGCTGCTGTCCTATTTTACATACATTCATGTTAAGTGTATTTATTTTTTAAATGTATATATTGACGTGGATCTCTCTGTTTTTTTAAAAACTGTTGTTGGCCGCAGTGTTAGAAACTGAATGTGAGAACTGGCCATGATGATCTCATTGATCTGACTTGCTTGGGGCCCTCCAATCAAAGCGCGGATACCACATGCGATCTGACTTGTCCACATGGAGACAGTCAGATTTTTGTGACATCTCTCTTGGGCAGAACTCATTCCAGTGAAACTCTCTTCTCTACAAGATCACATCAGGAAAAAGTCAGCATGTCACTGATGGGTGAGGAATAGGAACCAGTAGTTACAAAGTTAGAAATTTCTAGAGGTTTTATCTATCTATCTAGAAGATAGAAACTCCTGTTTCAAATCAAGCAGGACGTGGTAACTTCATTTACATCTTAAATACAGATTACTTATTACAAGCACACAGATCTTTTCTGGTACTAATAAGAAAGAATAGTATTGCATCTTCTCGGTCTAAGGAACCCAGGGGGCTAGCCAGGGTATAAAGGATGACAAGAACAGGGCTTGTGTTCCTTATGCCTTGAAGCAGACAGTTTTCTACTGGGAAGTCATACAAAATATGTAATAATATCCATCTGCTCCAGGAAAAAAAAATAATACCATTTTTGGAAATTCATATAATTTTGCAAAAAAAGGTCAAATTTTTAAATAAAAAGATAAAATAAATACTTTGTACCACTGGAGACAAGCTCTGAAAGATAAATAAACCCTTGGTATTTCTCAGGGAAAAAAGAGGTTCTATTCATTTGAAGCTATTTCTCCTTATATAAGCCAGGAATTGCCAGAAGTCAACTAATTATGGAACGCTGTTATTTGAACAGAAGATGCTTGAATTCTATCCTTGACAAATCAGGCTCTGGAAATGAGAGACATCAGAACTATGAGGAAAAACCTGCTGATTTACAAAGCTTTTTTTTAGAGTGATAAAATTCTTCATTTTCCACTTCATTTTTTTCAAGTTAATTCCAGCCTCAGGCCCAAATTGGGATTATGACTCTGTGCATTTCATTCTGTTTCTCTAAATGCCAATGTAGACTACACAGCACTTTGAACCCACAGCTCCTTTCTTTCTCCCATGGCACAGTATACAAGAATTAATGTGACTTACTCGTTTCTTTCCAGATGTATGATCAGTTCTTTGCTTCCCAGTTGTATTCGAAAATTCAACACTTCTGGATGATTCTGAAAGATAAATAAGAGAAATCCAGCTGAAACACATTTCACATTGACTTGCCAACATTTGAATGTTCTGAAGACATATTCGATGGAGGGAGAGAAATGTAAGTTTTCTTCTTGGGACCATTCTGATATCCCAAGTAGAGGAGACCAGGTCAACCAGGACCAGAGTCTGGAGGAAGCATCACCCTCCTAGATGGCACAAATGTGGCCTGTACACCTTTCCTTTGGCCACATAGCCCTGAGATCCATTTCGACTACCCCCACCTCCTATAATGACCTCCTCCCTCAGTTTCCCTGTCTCTATAAATAGCCCCTTCGCTTCCCCAGCTGCTCATGTCAGAAATGTGAAGTCCTGCTTGAAACCTGCTCCCTCTCCAGCTCCTCTCCATCCATGGGAGGTCCTGCAGTGTTGCTGTCAAAACCATAGCTCCTATTACGTCATACACCCCACCACCTCACTCCAGTTCAAAGCACAGTCACCTCGCATCAGGAATACCGCAACGCCCTCCTAACCTGGGTTCCTCCATATCTACCTTTGATTTCCTCCCATTTGTTCTTCAATGGCAGTAGAAGTTCAACATCAAAACTACCTCTTCATCAACGCAACTGTGCTTATAAGGAGCCTGCACTAATATCCAGCGATAAGATGCCAACCCTTTAATGTGGCCAGCGGTGCCCACACGGCTCTGGTCCTCACTCACATGGACCTTGCCAGCAACTCAAACACACCAAACTCCTCTGTAGTGCTCATTTTTTGCACATGCTGTTCCTTCTGCCTGGAATGCTTCCCCTCAGACTCCTCTAACTCAGTACGAGCTCTGACATCAATAAATCAGGGAACCCTCCTTACCTTGCTCCTCAATCTCACCACGTACCCCTCTTCCCAGGCAAGCTTTCTTCCAGTCTCCTGTCCTTTCCCTCCTTGTGGAAGGAAGAACTTCTTTCCTACTTGTGGTAACTCAGTATGTTGATTTGTGGGTCCACTTGCTTATTATGTCCACAAAGGTGTCAGACAAGTAATAGAAGCCCAATTAATATTTGGTGAATGAAGGAATTAATGACTAGGGTAAATGTCTCTACCAATCTCTTCTCCTTCTCACAAGGCTATGACATACTCCTTCTTCTCTGAGCTCCAGGGAATCCAGCTCGTGTGCGCCCATCTGTCAGTGGGAAGCAGGCAAGTACACTTTCTGTTCTGCCCTGGAAATCCCAATGAGTTTCTTGCCCTGCCCTGAGAATGTACCTATGTGACAATGTCCCTCAACTCACAACCTTACCCAAGTTCCCTTCCCACTAACCCAGGGTGGTCATGTGCGCCACACTCCTACCTTTGAGCCCAATCATTTAGAGTCCTTACCCAAGTCATAATCTACTTGCAACTCCAAGGTATTCTGTGAACCTCCCATCCCCTTTCCTGCTGTGTGATTTGGGAACAGTCACTTCCTCCTTATCCGGACCAGCATGTGTCAAATGAGGGCTCTATGTATCCATGGGGCAGTTCTCACTAGGGGAACTGAAAATTTCAGTTTTTTAAAAAACCAATTGATTTTTTAAAAACCAACGCTGCATTTTCATTCTGACCTGTCGGGACAGTCCCCCAGCACTCAGGCAGGAGATTGGCAGTGCCACCTGATGGACCAGGGGATGTGTGAAGGGCAAAGAAGGGGTTAATTCACAAATGATGCAAACTAAAGGAGGGCCAAAGGCCATCAAAGCCCAGGGCAGGAGTTAAGGCTCCTTGGGGGCTTAAAAGGAGCAAAGTAGAAAAGAGCTGGGTCATCACATGGAGCTGGCACTGCAAAGTCAAGGGCGCCCGGCTCCCCGCGGTCAGCGTTGCATCTGAGAGCCGTGCAGTGGCTCAGCCCTGCTCACAAGTCATCACTGCAGGAAATCAGGGCTGCCCCCTCAGCTGGTGTGGGTTTTCCTGCCTTTGCTCTGGAAGTTCTTTCAGATTTATCCTTGTGAAAATAAGATGTCCATATGTAGTGTTCTAATATTCCAGCGTTAAGAGTTCAAGAGACTTTTCCTACAACATAGCGTTTCATCTGTACTATGGATCAACTAATCACATGTTACTATGAGAGAAGGTGGAGTGTAAACTCCAACATCCAACCTTAGTCCAAATGAAAGGAAATTTAAACAAAAACCCTAACAACAGAAGTCACATGAGTTTTGGAAAAAGGTTAAAACAGGCGTGTCCTTGTGCCGTGAGACTGGGACAGCATCACACACGGCAAAACGCTGCTTCTTTTATTTTCACGGCTGCCCTTTGCACATCTGGATAGTTTCCGATGTCAAATATGGTAGCTGTTAGCCACATATGAATTTACATTTAAATTAATTGAAATAAAATTTAAAAATCAGTTTATCAGTCTCCCTGGACACATTTCAGACTCAAGAGCAAGATGCGGCTAGAAGCAGCCCCGTCGGACAAAGTCAAGAGACAACATTCCTACCTACCTTCCCAGAAAGGTCAGACATTTCCATCTTCATTGAGCTGGTCAGAGTCAATAATAAAGACCTAAGATTTGCATCATTCAGTTGCTGCCTGAGTAACAGACTATTTTAAATATCGGTGCCTTCAGGGGACATAATTAGGTGCAAACCCAAGTGGGTTTTTTTAAGTGCACATTTAAGAAAGCTCTTCTCAATTTTAATTGATGAGTGATATTATTTTTTAAGGAGTTACTTAAGCTTGAGAGTTAAACTGGTAAATTTCCATATAAATGAAATGCTTATCTGTATTTTCTGGGTTTAAACAGAACTTGTTTTGTACGGACTCATTCTAGCAAATGACGACACAAACATCTAGCGGTCTTGTAAAAACCACACACCGTAATTGACTTATTTTGGCACTATCTGATGTTTCTAAGAATTTTATAGGTTTCTGAGTGTTTGCTGAACTTTTCAAATATTACTGTTTCCATCCTATGCAACATTAGACATACATTATGTCTTTAAATTTTAATATAGTGCATAGAAGTGCTTATAAGTCCTGGATTTGCTATCAAGTCTGTCATGGGGACTTTTGCCCAAATTTGCTTATATTTTCTGACACTGAGATTTAACTACAAATACACATAGAATGTTCTCTCCAGAGTTTGCAACTTGTAGTTATCCATGATTTCTTAGAAAAACGGCATTATTAATTAAGTTTACAATAAAATATTAGAACAAATGTCTTGACATTTTGTCAAGATGTGCCCAATGTATGTACATGTACGCATATTTGAATGTGTTTTATATATGTGTGTGTGTAAATAACTTCCTTTAATTACAAATTGTCTTTTCCTGAAATACTGAAACATGTATCACATTTTAAAGATGAATCTTGGCCATTATATTTGTGAATAAAGATAAAATATTTGCAGTACCTCTCGCCCCCAGTTCAGCTAGTCAAAACATGACCTTTTGTGCTAATTCCACAGGAAGTCCCTCCAGGACCTGTTATAATATTCCAAAGTCAACATCTTTCAAACGAATACATTTTTCCCTAGGGAGGCAAAAAAAAGATCTTATCTGTGTATTTTAGTTGGGATTTAATGGTACAGGAGAAATCAATGGGGAAAAAGAACAGAGAGCTATTTTCATTCAAAACCACTAATTACATTGGATTGCTCAGTTTGAATGCATGTATTCATTCCATTTTCTTCTGATTTTTATACATCGAAGATAATAAACTAGTGCTGGTTAAATATAGCATTCCTTTTCTTAAACATGATATATTGATTACCTAAACGGAACTGTGTCTTTTATTGAGTGCTTAAAGAACTGCATTTGCTTAGTCAACTCAATGCTATCAATAGGCCAGAAATGTTTGGGCACTATTCTAATTCCACCTTTTTCACTGGGGAAAGTAAACCCAAAAAAGAGTGTACAAAATGTATCACTACAATTTTAATTTTAATTTTTTAAAAATATTTATTTTATTTATTATGGGAGGGAAGGGCAAAGGGAGAAAGAGAGAGAATCTCAAGCCAACTCCTTGCTGAACGCAGAGCCTGATGACACGGGGCTCAATCTCATGACCTTGAGGTTATGACCTGAGCTGAAATCAAAAGCTGGATGGTTAACTGACTGAGCCACCCAGGCTCCCCACTACAATTTTAAAAAATAATAATTCTTAGAGTACCTATAACTCAGCTGAAAAATCAAAACATTACCAGAATCTGAGAAGCCCCTTGCATTAGTTTGCGAAGGCTATCATAATCAAATACCACAGGCTGGGTAGCTTAATGAACAGAGATTTATTTCGCATGGTTCTGGAAGCTAGAAGCCCAAGGTCAAGGTGTCAACAGGGTTGGTTTCTTCTAAGGCCCCTCCTCTTGTAAACTCCTCAAGGAAACTATGTGGGCAGCCTCCCCCAGGGGCTGTGCTCAGGCTGTTCTGCCAAGAAAGGCGGCAGCCAGGACCCCACTGCCCGTTTCTGGGACCCTCAGTTGTCCTGGGCTCCCTCTGAGGTCAACCACAGCCCATCTGCCCAGCACTCTCTACTTAACTGGAATTCTGAGCAGATGTGTAAAAGTGATTTATTAATTAGCTGGGATTTCTTTCATGTTGTCTTGCTTTCCTTTAATCTGTGTAATTGGGGATCCCCCAAACTTGACTTTAAATTATTTCACCCATATTGGCTACAAAATCTCTCTAGTCAATACACAAGTAACTTCTCACAGATATAGGGATGCCTCTGACTGCTTCTTCTCTGATGGGTGGAATGATACACAGCACCATACCCTTGGTGTTTCCTTGTCTTTAAAAAACAGCCATCTTCAGCAACTTAGAAAAAATCTGAACCAGATCATGAAGTTGAAATAAGGTGGCAGTGAGCCACCAGAAGGAAGGGAATTACAGGAGAGAAAATACGATGTCGGGTCAACCGCGGAGTCCGCTCCCACCCTGGCTTCTAGGTTACCCTTTCAAAGATCATGGTCGGTTCTGACCCAGATTCACTCATCTCAGCCGTTGATACTGGAAGCTCAGAGAGATCTAATTTTTCAAGCAGA